CCCTACTCTAAATTTTACACAAAAAAATGATGGAAATGGCTTTTTATATTTTTAGAAATTTCCCAAATTCTTTATAGAAAGTTCTCCCCCCGCTTTAAATTTGGAAAAAAAATGAAGTGAGTTTTTGTAGAAATAACACTTAAGGGACGTGGAATGGACCAAAACGTATGTGCGTTACCGATTCATTTCGCGGAACGGTCTTTTTCCATTGTTTGCACCTAATCCTGGCCTAGGGGGCTGCTTCACTTCACAAATGGGCAAGCGTCAGAATGAATTTTTTTTTTTTTTTTAAAACAACATTTTATGTTAAGATAACGTTCAACATCTTAAAAAATAAAGATCACGATATTGAAAAAGGCGTGGAATGATCTAAAGAAGTGTTACTAATGTATTTCCGGTTTTATTGTTTGTACTATTCTTAGTTGTCTTTAGGCTGTTAGGCTGCTAGGCTGCCAGGCTGCTAACTTCACAAATTTCGAAGTGTCAAAAAAATGTTCAATATTTAAAAAAAGTAAAGTACGCGATACTGAAATAGGCTGCTAGGCTGCCAGGATGCTAGGCTGCCAGGATGCTAGGCTGCCAGGCTGCTATGCTGCCAACTTTAGGCTGCTAGGCTGCCATTTTTTCTTTACAAAATAATGCTACGGAAGTAAAGCTTACATATCATCAATATCTGAGATTTCGGTTGGAAAGTAGGGAGCTTCCTTAAGTTTGGTTATTCTGGCCAGCCGGAGATCCACGTGATAAGTACATGTAATTTGAATCTACATTATGGAATAAACCAATTGTACTTTGCACATGTTTTACTGTATCTGCTCTTACTAGCTCTAGGCGACTAGACTCTCGGTTGCACACCAAGTCCAAATATCAAAAATAAGTCAAAATTATAGTTATACATAAGTTTTGCAAAGACACCGCGAAATAAAAAGGTTTCTTTTGTAATTTAAATAGAGAAATTAAAGCTATTTTTATCTGACACACACTAAAGCAAATGAATATAACGTAAATACTTTGTATAAGAAAAATAGAAAAAGATATAAAAGACAATGATAATGGCTTTAATGATTATTAAACTGTTTTGTTTTTCCAACACTTTTACAATCTAAAACATTTATACATTAATGACTTTTTATAACTATCTGCACATAGAAAGATAAAAGGAAATAGTTTTTCTACTTTTAATCAAATTTATCGCTAAGTGTTGAGATTATTTATTTTATGTCTTCTTCCTTTGATATCATTAATGCTAGGAATTTTAATTATCTAATAGAATGCAAACACGCTTCCACGTGACACGAATGGAATTTATAAAAAACAGGTGTTTTGCCCTTTAGGAAAGCGCTTGGTTGCTTATATGGTATTTTCCTGTAGCAAGGATAAATATTCCAAATACAAATTAAGGAAGTTCTAATTCAAGCCGACTGTTTGATATTAAAAGTATGGATTTTAATCCGGCCACCTTATATATATTGTTATGTACAGGTAAGTAACCTTTATTTTAATTTTTAAGTCTTTGTAAATTTTTATTTTAATGTTATTGTCTATAAACACATTTATAATAAAAACGTTACTACTGTGATTCTTAAGAAAATGAGTATTATTTCCCTCAAAAAAATGTGAAAATCGCATGGAAGGAATTAAAAAGACAAACATGTTACATTAACATTTATTATTTGAAACCATACACATTTTTAGTGTTTAATATCCACAGATTTAACGGAATTAAGTGAGATTTGAGCATTGAAATTGTCATTAGCAGTATTGAATTTGCATCGTTTTTATACACTTGTTTTGTACATATTTTGATTTGAAATTCGAGGACAGTATATCATATCTGTTCAGTATTTTATTCTTTCTTTTTATTTTTATACTTGTATGATTATTTTAAAAATAGAACAAGAAACAGCTTAAGTCCCTTAAGCAAATCTTCTTATTTTAATTTAAACCATGATTTTTTTAGGCCAAACGGGACATTTTCCCCTGGAAAAGAAGTGATGGAACATTCAACCGGCCGTTATTCCCTGTGATTTTAAAAGGTTTCAATATTCCCCAAAAAATGGGCAGGACCTAAGGGGGGCCGCGAAACCCTCTAAAAAACAGGACAGATTAAAAGAAATGAAGAGAATATAAAAACGGGGATTTTTTGATGACCCGGGCCCCTTTGAAAACTCCAGGGGCATTGTTCTAAAACATGATGGCAATTTTAAACCCGTTCGGATGACAGTGGGGAACCAGGTTTAAACAACAGGAATTGAAAGTTCAATTTTTACGTTTCCCAAAAATGTTATTATATTCAAGTAACATTTCATTTTAGCATTTCCCTCCGGATTTATGCTAGTGTTTTTAAAATTGGCTTTCACAGAAAACCCCAACCCTTAACACGAATGGATGACAACCCTACAATTAAAATTTTAAAAGTTTTTGGGGAAAATAAAAATAAGGGTTATAATTTTTAATGTTTTTAAAATTTTCCAGTTACAAAAACTTTTTTTTTAAAAGGGTTTTCCCAACCTTTTGGCATGTTTTTTAATTCAGCTAACCCCAGAAAAAAATATTTTGGGCTCCCAAATTAAAACCCTTTAATCAACATATAAATAGGTCATTAATGCTTATTGTGTTTAGATATTAGGGTTTACAAAGCCGTTTTAAAACAAAAAAGAAAAAGAAAAAGAAGAAAAAAACAATTTTCTTCCCTTTTGTTTGAATTTTACAAATTTGGGGACCCCTTAAAGTTAAAACACATTTAACCCCAAAAAATTTTTACCTTTTTAAAATTTATAATTTTTCCCGATTTTTTAAAACCCGGGGGGGAAAATTCTACCCGCTTCCACAAGGGGGAACACAACAGCGGTGTTTACTTGGGTTGCCCTATAACCCACCTTTTGGGAAATTTTTCCATTGGCTTTCCCCTTTTTTAACAACCTTTATCCTGTTTTCCAAAAGTTAAATAAACCCCTTTTGACGAGGGAAGTTCCGTTCTTTTTGGTATTATTCCATTTTAAAGCGAGATTGATTTGTTTTTCAATAATTTTGACTGCCCTTTACTTACCCATGACAATTTTCCCAAATTTTAATAAAAACAATTTCATTTACTATGACAATAAGAGTTACTATGACAATTTTAGTTACTATGACAATAAGAGTTACTATGACAATTTCAGATACTATAACAATAAGAGTTACTATGACAATTTCAGTTACTATGACAATTACAGTTACTATGACAATTTCAGATACTGTGACAATAAGAGTTACTATGACAATTTCAGTTACTATGACAATAAGGGTTACTATGACAATTTTAGTTACTATGACAATAAGAGTTACTATGACAATTTCAGATTCTATGACAATAAGAGTTACTATGACAATTTCAGATACTATGACAATAAGAGTTACTATGACAATTTTAGTTACTATGACAATAAGAGTTACTATGACAATAAGAGTTACTATGACAATTTTAGTTACTATGACAATAAGAGTTACTATAACAATTTTAGTTACTATGACAATAAGAGTTACTATGACAATTTCAGATTCTATGACAATAAAAGTTACTATGACAATTTCAGATACTATGACAATAAGAGTTACTATGACAATTTCAGTTACTATGACAATAAGAGTTACTATGACAATTTTAGTTACTATGACAATAAGAGTTACTATGACAATTTCAGATACTATGACAATAAGAGTTACTATGACAATTTCAGATTATATGACAATAAGAGTTACTATGACAATTTCAGATTCTATGACAATAAGAGTTACTATGACAATTTCAGATACTATGACAATAAGAGTTACTATGACAATAAGAGTTACTATGACAATTTCAGATTCTATGACAATAAGAGTTACTATGACAATTTCAGATACTATGACAATAAGAGTTACTATGACAATTTCAGATACTATGACAATAAGAGTTACTATGACAATTTCAGTTACTATGACAATAAGGGTTACTATGACAATTTTAGTTACTATGACAATAAGAGTTACTATGACAATTTCAGATTCTATGACAATAAGAGTTACTATGACAATTTCAGATACTGTGACAATAAGAGTTACTATGACAATTTTAGTTACTATGACAATAAGAGTTACTATGACAATTTTAGTTACTATGACAATAAGAGTTACTATGACAATTTTAGTTACTATGACAATAAGAGTTACTATGACAATTTCAAGATACTGTGACAATAAGAGTTACTATGACAATTTTAGTTACTATGACAATAAGAGTTACTATGACAATTTCAGATACTATGACAATAAGAGTTACTATGACAATAAGAGTTACTATGACAATAAGAGTTACTATGACAATTTCAGATACTATGACAATAAGAGTTACTATGACAATTTCAGATACTGTGACAATAAGAGTTACTATGACAATTTTAGTTACTATGACAATAAGAGTTACTATGACAATTTCACTTACTATGACAATTTTAGTTACTATGACAATAAGAGTTACTATGACAATTTCACTTACTATGACAATAAGAGTTACTATGACAATAAGAGTTACTATGACAATAAGAGTTACTATGACAATTTCAGTTACTATGACAATAAGAGTTACTATGACAATTTTAGTTACTATGACAATAAGAGTTACTATGACAATTTCAGATTCTATGACAATAAGAGTTACTATGACAATTTTAGATACTATGACAATAAGAGTTACTATGACAATTTCAGTTACTATGACAATAAGAGTTACTATGACAATTTCAGATACTATGACAATAAGAGTTACTATGACAATTTCAGATACTATGACAATAAGAGTTACTATGACAATTTTAGATACTATGACACAATAAGAGTTACTATGACAATTTCACTTACTATGACAATAAGAGTTACTATGACAATTTCAGATTCTATGACAATAAGAGTTACTATGACAATTTTAGATACTATGACAATAAGAGTTACTATGACAATTTCACTTACTATGACAATAAGAGTTACTATGACAATAAGAGTTACTATGACAATAAGAGTTACTATGACAATTTCAGATACTATGACAATAAGAGTTACTATGACAATTTCAGATACTATGACAATAAGAGTTACTATGACAATTTTAATACTATGACAATTTTAGTTACTATGACAATTTTAGTTACTATGACAATGAGAGTTACTATGACAATTTTAGTTACTATGACAATTTTACTTACTATGACAATAAGAGTAACTATGACAATTTCAGATACTATGACAATAAGAGTTACTATGACAATTTTAGTTACTATGACAATAAGAGTTACTATGACAATTTTAGTTATTATGACAATAAGAGTTACTATGACAATTTCAGATACTATGACAATTTTAGTTACTATGACAATTTTAGTTACTATGACAATAAGAGTTACTATGACAATAAGAGTTACTATGACCATAAGAGTTACTATGACAATTTTAGATACTATGACAATAAGAGTTACTATGACAATTTTAGTTATTATGACAATAAGAGTTACTATGACAATTTCAGATTCTATGACAATAAGAGTTACTATGACAATTTCAGATACTATGACAATAAGAGTTACTATGACAATTTCAGATTATATGACAATAAGAGTTACTATGACAATTTTAGTAACCACGACAATTTTAGTTACTATGACAATTTCAGTTACTATGACAATTTCAGTTACTATGACAATTTTAGTAACCACGACAATTTTAGTTACTATGACAAATTTAGTTACTATGACAATTTCAGTTACAATGACAATAATAGTTACTATGACAATTTTAGTACCACGACAATTTTAGTTACTATGACAATTTCAGTTACTATGACAATTTTAGTTACTATGACAATTTTAGTTACTATGTCAATTTAAGTTACTTTGACAATTTCAGTTACTATGACAATTTTAGTTACTATGTCAATTTAAGTTTCTATGACAATTTTAGTTACTATGTCAATTTAAGTTTCTATGACAATTTCAGTTACAATGACAATTTCAGTTACTATGACAATTTCAGTTACTATTACAGAAACTTCTATTACAATCCAAAGGTCGGTTACAGGAATACAGTTTGTTTATTCGGTTTAAAAACATAATAGTTAAATATAGTGTATTTTACTTGTATATTGGTTTTAATGGACGTGTATAATATCATGAATACAAAATGCATGAAGAAATCCGAGCATATTAGTTTCTTTTAGCCTGTGTATTCATGTTGATTTATTCGAGGTCCTTAATGTGATAAAAGCAGAGGGTCGAGAAGATGCGATTGGCAAGAATTAATGGGTTTTGCACAAGTAAAGACATTTCTTTAGAAAATCACATAGGTCATGTTCTTTAATTAAACTGATAAAATAGCCTTATTCAGGACGGAGGTCTATCTTACCTTGAAAAATGTCGCATATCACATTATTTCAAATATAAACCCCAAATTTACCTAGATTTTACAGGCCTTGAAATGTATTTGTTAGTCTTAGCATGATTCAATATTCATTCATTGATATTGATAACTTTTTGTCGCAGGTATTTAAAGCATTTTGTTTTTTATTGATTAATGTTTATTGTCTCACTAGGATCCAGCTCGTGAAAATCGAACACTGTGTAGATATGTTAAAACAATAGGATTAACAAAAGAAAGCAACGGTCGTGAAAACCTATGTGATTTCAGGGGCAAAGGAAATGGGTTTTACTCAACTGTAACTTTACAAAATACGTTTTACTGTGAGTTGTTGTCAAAACTTTGTTGTTGTTGTTGTTGTTTTGTTATTGTTAATATATCAAGCAATGTTGATATTTTCTTTATATCATAAAATCATTCCCTATGTGGCTGAATGCTTTTCATTACTGTTTGAGTCATAAAATTTTCAATCACCGTTTATCCCTGTAGATAGTAAGAGGCGATAGAAATGGGTAAGAAAAGTCATTGTCATAGTTAAGTCATTGATTTTTAGTTCTAGCAAAGAAAGGTTATTTTGACCCCTGTTGTTGCTTTTATTTCTGTCACATCTTCAGTAGGAAAGTTAGAATAATATTTCCTGTTTCGGTGCCATATGACCTATACCGTGTTCGTGCGCCTTAAAATCAAAGAAATCAAACCAAATCATCTGTTTAAATGCAAACCAATTTAAAAAGAAGTAATGATGTGATAATAAATCATGAAATAAAAATAAAAAATTTACCTATTTTTTTACCTTCAGTTCCACCAACATATGTCAACATTACTGCAAATAAAGAAGATAAGACCTTGACCTTAGAGTGCACAACGGATTCGTCGAACCCTGTAGCTATGTTAAACTGGTATAAGGGGGATGATGATACAGCCTCAAATAACTCTATTATCACAAGCTCTTATCAGGCGGTCATTGTTGATGCGGAATATGACGGTAAAAATATAACACAATCTCTCGATATCAACGCAGTTAATATTAAAGAAGGGGAGATGGCTTTCTGTTGTGCAAAACAATTGAATACCGAGATATGTCAATCTATTCTACTAACACCTTATATAGAAGCATGTGAGTATCTTACAGGGCGTTATATTATCCTTTGTTTATAACGTAGCAAGTTCTTTTTTGTGTGAATATTGATAATAATTTATACATTTTTATATTATTTATTCAATAAGTTATAACTTCAGTCATCGCGCGCGGATTAGTTGTAACAATGGGTCTTTCACATCGAATAAAATGCTCAAAACAATTATTTTTTTCTATAGATCAAGTGATGACAATCAGCTAATTCATGTCGTGGTGGTCTTAGTTGATCATACAATTCCTAAAATTAATTGATTTACATACATGTATATTATACATCTATTATAACCTGTAATAATACATTTCAACTCGAATACAAAACCAATTTTTACGAATCGAATCCTTATTTTTAAAGAAGCATTAGATATTTTCCCTGTTAATATAATTCAAAGTTGAATCAACAGCAGTTGTTCATAACCCCAGATATATATCTTAATATTATCAATCGAACTAAAGATGAAAAGTCAAGGCTTTTTTTTAAGGTGGCCTAGTGGACAAGGTATCTACCTCTAAACCCAGGGATCATTGCTTCGAGCTCCAATATTTCTTCATATAACACCAGTACTGGTTGGTTCCAGGGAGCAGTCTCGAAAGTGATAAATCAATCTCATTAAAATAATATCCTAACTGCCGCTTCACTACCCTACGCTCGTAGGCTACGTAGCGAAGAGTGACGGAGCGAACACGATGATCTGATTTTAATGAGATTGGTGATACATATAAGTAGCAAGCACTTGTCTCGCAATTTAGATAAAATTTATATTTTTAAGCCATATGTTTAATATCATTCATTGAGCCAAGTATATATTTATATAGGGCATAACACATATGGATGATCTATGTCTCATCAAATTGGGCCAAATATATATTTATATACGGCATAACACATATGGATGATCTACGTCTCATCAAATTGGGCCAAATATATATTTATATACGGCATAACACATATGGATGATCTATGTCTCATCAAATTGGGCCAAATATATATTTATATATGGCATAACACATATGAATGATCTATATCTAATCAAATTGACTTTCACTGTCTGTATAAAGCTTCTTATTATATAAATAAATCGTTTGAAATAGTCTTTATATACATTTGATTTTTTATTGTCTTTTTCAGCTGCTGGCAGTTCCAGTGTTGCAGCCTGGATGTCACTGATTATTGTTGCTGTTTCTGTCATCATCATTTAAAAGCACATCATAACTAAGTTTATCTACTACTTGTAGACTTGAACAATTATATATATTCAAGAGTATCAATTTATATTATTACGACATATCATATTGGGAGTTTTGTAGTTTTATTATTAATGGCATAAAATTAATAACATTTGTGCATCAGCTCAAAAATTGAAGAAATATTCATTGTATAACATACAATATTTAAGAAGTTAGCTACAAAACAGTGAGCGCTGCATTTTACGAGATATAATTCCTACAAGACATTAACAGTACATTTGTGTTATAGTTAGTATTTTTTTGACAATCAAAAGTTCCTTGTGTTATACTTCTGTAATTACATGACTTGAGAGAAATAAAGATATTTGTAAAAATATTATATGGTAATTTTGAAAGGGCATTACAATGTCATTTTAGAGAGTTTTATACGTAATGTAATGACAATTTACCAATCAAGTACCAAAAACAA